CTTCACCTCGAACAAGTCTGTGAGCTGCCCTCTATGCACGGTTCTGCAGTTTAACCCATAAGAATTCCGTATGATGTTGACTATCTTCTCAGGCACACTGTTCGACTATGTCATCCTTTGAACTCTGTCAAATGCTTTCCCGTGTTCAATGAAGTTGATACAGAGCGGTGAATTCCATTCATTTGATTGTATCATAATGGTCCATTGTGTCACATGCCATTTGGTCGGTACATGATCCATCTTTATGGAATCGAGACCGCCGATCTCAAAGATGGGTGTCTTTCACTCAACTTAACGACGCTCTTTTGAAAACTGTTACTGATATCTGCAGCAGAGTGATGCTTCTGTAGTTCTCGAACTTGCTGAGATTTACTTGCTTTGGTATCATGAAGAGGTATCCTTCTTTCCAGTCGGTTGAACTTGTCCTGCTTTCCCGTTCTTACTGACGAGGGCGCGGAACATCTTTCTAATTGCTGCTCCGTTTACTCTCAGTGCGCCAAGTGGTAAGTCGTTTAGTTCCGTTGCCTTACAACCGTTGCTTTGTCTGATGTCCATGCTGAGTTCTTCAGCGGTTGGTGGACAAACACTGATTGGGGTTCCATGGATGCTATTTCGATGTTCAGTGGGTTCATTGGGGCTGGTCGATTCTAGCCTTTTTTGAAGTCCTTTACACATCTGTTTTGCTGTTCTTCAACCTCCGTGATCACTTTACCTTCCCTGCTTTTCATTGGTCGTTCTGGTTTAAAGTAGCTTCCAGCAAGCTTATTTGTTGTATCACACAATTGTCTCGAGCTGCCTTCTGTTGCAGCCTTTTCCCCCGTCACTGCTAGATCTTCCACATATTTAAGTTTGTAGGCTCTGATGCTCTTCTTCATTTGCTTGTTTATTTTTGTGTACTTAGCTTGTGCTGCAAGATGATAAGAAGCCCTATACAATGATCGCGAACAGTGGTGGGTAGTGAAATCAAAAGAGATGGAAAAGGCGGCTATAGATAAAATTATACACTTATTGTGACTTGTGAAAGTAACTGGTATTAAAAATCCGGTTGTGGGCGTGAATACCTCAGAAAGAGATGTGCATATTATTCATTATCAATCCAAGGGATCGAATAGATAGGCAATGCACCTTAGGGCTTTCTGCCAGACTTCGGTTACCAACGATCACTTACCAGTCTGAGTGACAAATTGGTGTAAATCCTCCGATTCTTAATTAAGGTAAAAAAGGCTGTAGGAAAAGGAGAAGGAAAGCAGAAGGCCCTGGTAGGCTGACCGCTGTGATTTTCAAGGATGGTCACCCATTTTTAGCAATTAGATTGACTGAGATCTTAGGCAAAATTTTGTAATGGGCGTGATCCGTTCCGACTGGTCTCAATCACTGACTGTACCATTTTAAGGCTTACATCGGATATCATTACTTCGATTGGTGTTCGTTAGGGTTGCGCAATTTCTCCATTCCTTTTTTAAATTCCTCATCTACGTGCTTTTAGATATGACACTTTAATGATTTGACTTTTCATGAGTTGAACTTATACCAGGATATTCGTTTGTTAATTTAGAATATACCGATGACATAGTTCTACTTGGTGAAGACGCTGATAAAAGGCAGTGTTTTCTGACTACCCTAAGCAACGATACGAGCAGGTTTATGATGTGATTGTCTCCTTCGGAATGCAAAATGTTGCTTCAGGATTGGCTTCCGTCGGCACCTAAACTAGTGGTAGGGAGTGAAGTACTTGGGTTTGATCAGTACTGATGACCTAGTGCATAAAGAAATCGCAGCACGGATAAAGAATGCTTGACTGGCTCTTGGCAAATGGCCTCATTTATGGCGTAAGCGAGATATCCGTTTTCTAACCAAAGGACGAGTCTACTGCACATTAGTTCGTTCTGTCCTACTATATGGATGCGAATCATGGCCAGTCAGAAAAGAGGTCATCCATAAGTCACTGGTTTTCGATCATAGGTGTCTTAGATGCATTGCTCGTGTATCATGGGACAACCGAGTAATCAATGCTGTTGTTAGGGAAATCGTACTAGGTAAGGATGGCAGGCCAATAGGTGAAGTATTGTAACTGCATCAGTTGAGGTGGTTAAGACATGTGTTGCGTATGCTCAACGACAAACTGCCTCGATAAACAATGTATTGTAATGAATGAGTAGGTTAGTGGGAAGCTAGAGTCAACCAAACCGAAACGTGGCACAACACCATGAAGTCACTGTCAGGTGGACTGAGTTATGTTGGTAGATGCAGACTACATGGTTGGGTTTCGCGAGACGATATTAACGGATGATTAGAGACGTTGAATGACATGGTTCAAAATCGTTTACAGTTGCGCAAGTGCTTCCACGCATTGTTTCCTATGAAATTCCAATCTTCAGAATTCATCACTTTGTCTTTCTCTTCTTAAGTTTATTTCACTGGATTATATATCTTGAATAATTTCTTCAAACCCTAATATCCCTGAATACTGCTAATACTTTTACTACATTTACTACTATGGGATTTGAATTGAAAAGTGAGTCTCTGTGCTAGTGTGATATGGGAACTTGAACTGATATACGTACGTACGAAGTACAAAGAGTATCCAAGGGGACCAATTCGTTGTGATGATGCATCTTGTGTACCAGAACCTCACGTCATGTTGACGTTATTGCTGTTTTAATCATTGTTCAGTCCTTCTTTATGATAGGTTCCTCTTCCCTGAGTAGATCGTCAGAGGCTTGGAACTTATTGCTGAAAGCTATCTTGAATTAGCTGAGTCTATCAGTATCCCGGAGAAAAACTGCATTAAGCTTTGGTGATACTGTTTGCATCGTTTTCCGGAGCTTTTTATTTTATATTTTCAGCACCAAGTGGTGACCTTAAGCTATATCAAATTTCTTTGTTCTTACGTCTTCCACGGTCTTCCCTTTCCCCCCACTCTATTTTGTCCCGTGAATTTTTTATATGCGGTGTTATCCATTCCAAACTTGGCGTTTAGGTATCCGATCAGGATGGCCTAATCCCTTGTTCGGCATTTTTCTACTAATGACCGCTGCTTCTCACATAATTGATCTTCATAGTCTTTGTTACTATGGTTGATGGTCTCATAGCACTGACTAAAATTCTTTGAGATCCCCTTTTTTTGTTTTAAAGGATTCTTTAATGAAGCAGGACCTATTTGATTTCCATCCTTTAAAAGCTTTTTGCGCCCCCTTCGAAAGCTTCGATGAGACTCCTTATGTGTGTCAGGCATCGACCATTTCTTGGCCGGGGTACATCGGCATCTTTCCTGAAGTTAATCTCTTTTGTCCAATCTGTATCCAATGGTTTCAACTCATTCCAAGCATCAATAGGTTGTACATTTTAAATTGCGCAGCAACTTGAGTAATTCTTCTGGTCTCAGATCGAACAAACATTCCACGGACTTACGTTACATTTTCGGCTAGATTTAGGAAGGAACTTGGCCTGGTATTCTCCGAGGAAATACAGCTTCACCATGAGGCACCAAAACTCATCTAATCGAAGACTTTCACACTCCCAAAGCAAGGTTTAAATGGTCCGAATTATTTTTTTATGGTTCTCGAGTCAATGAAGGGAGACACAATATCACTCCAAACCCACCACCTTTATCCAGGCTTCGGAGTTTAGTGACCTTAGAAGGGCTCGAGATGGAGTTTTACAATGCTTGTATTTTAGAATAAATTTACCAGCCAGATCTCAATAAAAAAGAAAAGATCAGCTGACTCAAAACATATCTTAACGGGCAATTGTATAACCAAACGTTATACAATTCCCACATTTTTGATTAAAATAGAGGATAAATGTGGTTAAACCAATGTGATAGAAGTTTAAACCTGAATCCTAACGTTGCATGAACCCTTTCGGATCGCCACTACTATTACACATCTCTGAACAGATCAGTGATGATACTTAGACTTCTATCGATTCAGTCCTATTTTAAACAGACGTCATTATACGTGGCCTTGTATTTTTAACATATATTTTTATAATCTCATTTATAATCACCAAGGCCGAATATATCATATGACCACGAACTAGAGCACCTATTTGACCCTTACTGTGTAATTGAACATCCCTCTAATTCAGTAAAACGAATTTGAAGAGACACCAGATGATCTGCTAGTTATGAGAAGCTTTTTTTAGAAAAAAAACTGTTTCAGTAGGAGCATCTGATAAGTGAGAGTTCTGTTTTCACTATGACGTTATGAAATGCAAACTTAAGAGGGAAAATTGAGTGAATTCTTAGTGAACCTGAAAGATATCGGGTTCGAGTTTTAGAAGTAACGCCAACTCTTTGGTGCAGGTATATTGAGCTGACAAGTCACAAACAGCACGAAAAGCGCATCCTGAATTTCACTGCTATCTATTCTATATAAACTTGAGTTATAATAGATATATCGACACACTTCACATACAATGGCCATACACTAATCAAGACTAATCAGATTTCAGCCGAAGATCAAAAGTAACATAATCCAAACTATTTTGAATTTAATCGAGGCCGAATAGTTTAAAAGTGAACGAATCGACTTCCCGGAATAGAAATAAAACTGTAACGAAAACAGTAGCATCCGAAAAAGCTGTTTCAAAGAAAATGTAGAGTAATTCAGGATACACAGTCCAAATGACAATCCACATCTATCAGTAATTTAAGTGAGGATTCTCTTTTGTAGTTAAAAGATCGTAACATAAGTCTTGGCTAGAATGAACCTAGTGAAAAATCTTTGGCTTGTCCAGTTGTGTTAGCCTGCCTTATGTGGACTTTTAGAGGCCGAACGACTGTCTGTTGAATCGGATGCAAACTAGCGAGTGTTTTGGTTCATAATTATTCACAAAACGAATAATTAAATACTAGTTAAAAATGAAAAGTAGATGAAATACAGAAAATTTTTGCCTACGGCCGGATGATTTGAGTGATTTTTCTAAAGAAAACATCCAAACCTGACTTTAAGCGAATACTTTCACAGATATCAAACAAAAATAATGCTAACACTCACCCAAAACATCAATATTAATAGTTCTTTGAGATTTCGGTCCGTGGGCACAAGACCAGTTGCCTCTGTCTTCGAATTTGACGTGCGGTATATAAATTTCATACACATCATTTAGTCTGTTACATATATAACGATGATTTTCTATGTAAAATCGACAGTTTTCGGCTATATCCTTGCCATTATGACTCCAAATAATTGGAAATATTTGGTGTTTAGAAGAACAAGACAATTTAAGATAAGATTCAGAGAGAGTAACATTCGATGGCAATACAGTAAATGTTAACGTTTGGTATGATGGGCAGAAAGTAATACTAAAAATGAAAAGAACAAGCGTAAACATATTCTGGATTTGAAAAATCGCAAAATCGTTCTAGTACACTGAGTATGTATACGATATCCAATAGTTACATGGAAGACTTTAGTAAAGTAGATTACTAATTTTTTGAATTAGTCTCATTAGTTTCAGAGGACAAAGCTTATTTTCGTAGCTAAGTCCTTCTGTGGAAAGACAGTAGACCAGTAAATGAAAGTTGATCTACCTTGGATCGTTTGTATGTCTGCCGAACTAAGTCTAGTGGTTCGGCATTGTTTAGGAATAATAGATTGTGGTTACTAGTAAAAATGTTTATTGTACATTTAAATAAAATATAATGTGTTTAAATCTGACCTAATACCACTATGAAATGTCATACTGTCCTTCGAATTCAAATTCTTCTTTATGTTCTGTCGAATTCCTAGTTGAATAGAGTAAAATCACTTCAGTTCACGTACATATACAGGCCCTTTCTGAAAAAACACTCTCGAATTATCTCGTGCTAGCAAAGCTTTTATAATACAGGGCTTGGTTCTTCCACTGGCATGCTGTTTTTGGTGAATAAGACTCCTACGGTCGATTAATACTGTCGCTGGGTAGTGTATCCTGCCTTCTTATAATTTCAGTGGTATGGAAAACAGAGTCGCGAAATTGTTTCATCTGAGCTTGAGAGCTTGAGAGCTTGAGCTTGAATTCCCAGATTACGTCTAGCCACTTTCACAGGTTAATACTTTAACTGGATTATGGTATCATGATTACCAGTTGACCAGCCGGAATAAATAATATCATCAGACAATAGTGTATATTGCTATTGTGTGTTAACAGAAGTACAAACCATAATTACCGCTGCGTGAGCCTAATTCGGGCATTCAACTGGTTGATCCCCACTGGTTATCTTTGACCGTAAAGAGGACTTGGGGACATTTCACTAGCTTTACAGACCTACTTTGGTTTCTTGTCGAATTTGAGGAGTTATTCAATGTTGAAATGACAAGTTAGTCTAGGCTTAATCATTATTAGACACCTTGAAGCACTGGACGGCCGTTTCGTCCGGCTACGGAATTCCTCGTTAGTGCTCAACTAAGATCCCCGCATGCGGAGATCGGATTCAGGACATTTAATGTAGCGCGCAAACGCTTTTGCTCTAGACCACTGAACCTCCATTCAATGCTGTTAATGTCCAACTTCATTCAGTCTGTGTTGTCGCTCAGCCTTACCGCCTCGTCTTTCGTCCCGGTTGTCAAGGTCGTTCATCACAACACTATGTGAGCTTGTAGATATCGGAAGTAATGCTGTAACCACTTTGTTGAAATTCTGTCAACTATTACTAAAAAACTCGAGCAAAGTCCGAAAATGGCTAGTCTGAAAATTAGAATTTCGACACTAATCGGTTTAAAACAGAGATATAAAGTCATTTCCACTTCATTTTAAGGAGGAACAGAAAAGTTCCAAATTGGCATATATTTCATATTGCCGAGTCAACGGACACCTGTCGATGATGCATAGCCTTTACTAATAGATAATTTGTAATTCATAAATATGATTGAAACAGAACATTTACTTTATTCTTCATCTACAATATATATAATAATTACGTCTGTACTTATATGGAACGCATTATTTTACCAGTGAAGAAACCAACCATCAACAAGAGAAGCTACATTATAATATACTAAGTTGTAATCAATGGCAATCCTTTAATCTAATGTTCACTTTATTTCCGATAGAGAAATAAACGTGAAGAAGATAGAGAATATATATGTATTGTTCAGTACAACTCTTATAATTGTTGTTTGAATTTAATATTAAAGAGAAAGTTTAATATTAGCTAACAGGATTTTGAAGAAATGCGAATTTGACACGTGCAATTAAAAACAAAAGCGAAAAATCACTTTTTTTGAAACTATCTCTAGGTGTTTAGGCAGAATATTTTCAGACATGTGCATATCAGCTATTAGTTCGTATGAGTATATTTTCAACTTTGTTACATACAAAATTTATTGAAATAATTAATTTTATTCGATTGTGGTATAATGTACTCTAAGTATTCTGTTATGTTTGAAGCTTCAATCTATGTTTTAGAAAGTGAATGTTTTATATATCAGTGACATATTACCAAATTATCCTTGAATAATGCGTCAGGTAATCCAAACAACTGTATAGCTAAAAATAGCACTAAAAACGATTTAAAAGAATTCAAAATAAGATTATTGAAGACTTTATAGACTTATAAGTAGAATGAAAAAGTTATCAACATATAGAAAAATTCGATTGAGCATTTCATTTGAATATCTATGGAAGGGTATGATTTAGACTGACAATTAAATAATGCCCTATTTTTCGATGTACAGAATTAACACCATAGTTCATTTGTTTTCAGCAGGATTACTTATGTAGAAACATTTGTTATTCATAAAATTCATTTTTCATCCAGGGATTTTCCTATCGATTTTAGGGACATACAAACGATGTAAGCATATAAGAGAACGTCGTTTGTGTTTAGGTGATTAAGTTAAGGAATCTACAACACTATTGATCCGCTATTAAATGTAACAACCTAGGAAATGTTAGATAAAGTTTATTCTGTATCCATTTGTATCGTTTCTAACTTTTTTCACTTCAAAACATCACAACGAATTTTCATGAAAATTACATAATTTGCAGATTCTTATTATGTTTACAGTTGTTACAACATTTACAGTTTTTGATAGCACGAGATCTTTTTACAGTTTTATCTGAAATACAATAGATTCTGTGATATTTTCAGATGTTTAAGTATTATCGGGCAAGAAACGATTACAATTTTTGCAAACTAATAAAATTAAATAACCTATTCAAGTCAATGCACATAATTTATTGTTTATAATTTTTGAATCAAAAAAACAAAAAAATAATTAAATAAAAGTTCATTGCATGAAAAAAACGGTGAAAAAAATTATTTACAAAGAGAAAAGCAATTTATTCATTTGTTTTTTCTTTACATAAATTATCTTTTTTTTCAGTAGAATATGTTTATTGAATGAATCTTTATAAAATTCTATAATGATGTATTTAGGTTAACAAATAGTTCTACAACAAAATTATTTAATGATAAAAAATAAGAAGTTTACAGGTCAGTTATATTATGAACTTCATTTTAGGTTATTCTTAAAATTCTTAAAATTTTTTTAACTACTAGAAGTACTGACATATTAGAATCAATGCAATAAAACAAAGATCAATGTTTTGCCATATAATCATTCAACTTGATTACTGAAGAGGAACATGATGAATAGATGATAGATTTTTTTTAAAGTTATTGTTAGCAATTTATTAATGACTTGTAAAAAGAGATCAAGTCATTGTTATTGAGAATATGTACTTTTTGAGTTACTGATGTTAGTTCATTTCTTGACTTACTTGGAACTGTCCGAAGTCGGAAATTGTTAGGATATTCATCTAAAATCCTAAGAGAATTACTGGTCAATTCCTGTTGGTTAATTCCTATTGGTCAATTTTATAGTCGTCCTGGATATCAATGCCACGTACTCCAATGTTGTTCCTATTCGAACCAAATGTATAAATACTCATTATCTGTAACTTTTTATGACCAGGACCCAGATCCGCATCCCTAGTCCGGGATCCTAAATCTCTTCTGGACTCGGACCTGGTACTTCCTGAATGCTTGTAGAATACATGTTCTACTTCATATCAAGTGTTCTTCTTTCACTCAATGAAGGGTTGGGACACTCGGATTAGAGTAGCATGTCGTGTCGCCGGATCATCGATCCTCGCTCTTGTTCACTGACTAGAATGATCTCGTAATGGTTCAAGCATATCAAATGACGTGTTTACGTGCATTCGTGACAGAAAAATGATTAGAAATTTTGATATCAAGAAAATAAATAAGACGTTAGCATCTGTAAGATACTGTTAAACGTTGGTGTTTATCGAATGATTATGATGCGAAAACAATGATTTCATAAACAGATAGTAACAATCCATGAATTCTTAAATGTGGCATACAAACAGCAAGGTGAGATGTGAATTTTCTTTCAATCACCAAAGTTTAGGATATCAGAGAATGAATGCAACAATTGATAATTATTATATAAAGAATAAAGATTTGATCAGCCTTTGGTAGTTTTTTTATTAGAATATTTACAAATACTGATTGTATGTAGTGTTGAAAAAGACTTTTAGACTGGAATAAGAATTAAATCCTGTGATTTGTGTTGTTCGACAGTTAATCATATATTACAATTTGAGTTCTATTTACTGAGTAATTATCAACTGAAAAGTAGAGGATAAAAACCTAAGCGCTATCAAAGTATATTGCGTTCAGAACTTTGATTTATGTTTTAAGTGATTTGAAGAAATCATACTAAATTGAAATTCAAGTTATGGCAGAATTAAGGCTTGTTTGTCCAAAAAGATTTGACTATTAACTCATTGAGGTAAGAGTAGTTTGACCAGCTAATTTTTTATAACTGTTTCTAACATCTGTGATAGCAAAATATTTTTCTCAATGAGTTGACCAGTAGTTATTTTTTTTCTGTATGAATTAAACATTTTTACAGAATGCATTTTGTACTCAACGGTAGTATAGCTTGATATCATTAAGTCAGGATAAGGGAAATTTTCTGAAAATACACATTTCATTATTCAGCACTACATTGTACGTGTTTTGTAATAAACAATATGAACTATACGTTTTAAAGTGTTTTGCTGCTAATACAAAATAGATGAGTATCAATCACTTCATTTGTAATTTTATTCAAAATTAGGAAGATTTTTAGATTAAATAGTCAGATGACATTGGTGTTTATTATATTTTTCAACCATATTCAAAGACTTCAGAAGGTTTAGGGAATGGTTAGGAAATTTCTGGTCTCAACTGAAATTAATTCAGTGGAAAATATTTTCGCGACCAAGAATATTTAACGAAAGAATTATTCGTACACTCCGAAACAATTTATTATCCCATAATTTCAACGAGTATGCTATTCGGTATTTGGAAAGTCATGCGTTTTTTTAAAATGTCCTAATTAATATGACTTTTTCAATGTGATATATCAAAATCAATGGGATATCAATTAACATTAATTCCAAAACATAAGTGGTCGATTTATGTTGAAAACACGTGATGTCATAATGTTATAACTTTGACTAATTTGAATACAAATTAACTGTTTCGTGTGAAGAAAATGAAAATCAGTTACGTTTAACATAAACTTTGATGATAAACGTGGGAACGAATGGAAATCAAAACAGTACTGTAAGAGAAAATACCATATTTCACATCAGTTTTTGGAATACCAATAAAATATAAATTTTACTGTTGAATATGTTCTAAATGGTACATTCGTTCTAGGTATTAGATATTTTAAAGTTATGTATTTCGAAATATGTGTCTGAGGGATAAAGTATGTTTCCCTAACTTCATTTCGATACAATAATTTTGTCAGCTTTAAAGATTGAACTGTCCTCCAAATTTTTAATGTAGTCAACTTATGATGTGGTATGATGTTTATGTCATAATAATTACTTTGTAAATTACTCTGTGCCTGATTTGTATCTCAAATTCGGTCCCTTTTAGTTTGCGCACGGAATTCTGTCTTACCTGAATACTGATCCATACGTGACTACTAGAGTATGTATTGGATGGCTTGAAAATTACTAGACTGAATTTAATTTCTAGTATTTATCTCACCTGTGCATAAAACATAAACCAATTCACGTTGTCACATTACGTATCAATACAGTAAAAGTGCAAAGTACAGCAAATAAGTGAAAATAATATCAACCACAATAGAAAACTAAAAGAAAATGAAATGAAAGATGAAAGGCTTTTTTTAATAAGCGATTGTAAAATTGAGGTGCTATTGTTAACGAGTTGGTTAATGATAAACCATCGTATTCGCTTATACAGTTTGAATAAAAAAGAATACAAAAATGAAACTGAATAACTTGAGTAATTTTTATGAATTTACTTGTAACATTTCAAGCAAATTAAAAATAATGAAGATACGGAAACATATCTAACATCTGAACTTATTGCAAAACACTGATCATATATATGACTTACTTTATAGCAAAAGATGTGGCATCACATAGGCTATTGTTGTTATAACTATTTAGGATGAAATATTACCGCAAGATATTTGAAAAAGCCCTGACTAGAACGAATAGCCTCTATCGCGACTTCAGTTTTAATATTTTGAATATGGTGTTTAGTCAAAGGATAGAAACGGTATAGAAATACTCTTCAAAATGAAAGGAAAATGAGAAAATACATATTTCTAGATTTGAAAGTAGATATATTTGGCTAGAAATTGTTTTAACTCACATAAAATTCAGACATTCACTCTCATATTGACCTCAGTATACAAGGATGTCAACTGCGATAACTAATTAATGTAGCGTATCAACTATCTGACTTGATAGGATGTTATTTTCAGTTTTAGCTGATCGTTTCTGAATGTGAAACTAATCGAAGTGAATAGGTGTGTTATACTCTTACTTTGAAGATATCATGAGTTTTACAGGAAAAGGGAAGATTTGAAGTGAAAAAGGAAATATTTTATTCAACCGATTTATTTATCGATTTCGTCATAAATTCCATACGGTTGCAATATATCTAAAGGAAGTCATTACTTTCATATGACAGAAAGAAATAATATTATCAACATAATCCAGCGCACAATAACCTAGGAACTTCGAGTAATATGTCGATAGAATGTATTTTATTCAGCATGTCTATTTTGTATATTAGAAAAAATATGGGAGAGACACATGTATCTTCCTTTATATTTTATTCTGTCCTATAAGAATAATATTCACTTATCATGTTACTTATGATTGGTTAAAAGTTTTATGATTTTTGTATTCATAGTGTATAACACACTTGTTGTACAACAACGAATGACATTGATTTATAAGTTATGATAAAAAGGGGATACAGCATTGACTTGAATAAATATTTTGTGTCATTGTTTTTATTTATAGCTGGAGTAAAGTAACAAGTTTTTAACTATTTCGATTGAAATCTCATTATATCATGTCAGCAATGATGTGCGCAAAATGTGCTCGACCATTTACAAGTGGAAGCATTTTAAGTGCTTTAGACAGAAAATGGCATCCTGAATGCTTTGTATGTACTATCTGCAAAAGAACACTAGCTGATCAGTCATTTCATGTGAAAAATGAAGATCCATTTTGTGCGAATTGTTGGAAGGAAAACTTTCAACCACGTTGTGCTGTGAGTCAATTAAAAAAAATTCTATCATTTTATTTGTTAGATATTAACAATTATAAGTTGATTTAGTCGAAATGAAACTACTTTTTTTTGATAATTTAGCTGATAAATTCATGTGTTTACACTACCACACTGTTTATACGAATGTATTTCTAAACAGGGAGTATTTCAGAAGAACTTTCGAAAAGATACAAAGTATAACTTAACTTATACGTTGCCTCCCTAATTATTCCGATTATATAATGAACCAACCAAGTGTAATACAACTTTAGGAACATTTTTATCTTGATTTATTGCAATATTTATTCGTTTAATTTCAGTATTATAAGAAGAGTAAAACAAAATCCTAAGTTATTGTGAATTAAAGAACCTTGGTTTAGAAAATTGATCTAAACATTAAAAATGAACTATACCATCCATCATAAAGGGTTTAGCAGAACACAGAAACTTACATGTCTGATAATTTGTTTTCAATCTCGTTATTATAGAAATGAGTACGAGTAGGAAGAGTGTTCCGTATATGTGCTAACCACCTTAGTCAATGAATTTCATCACCTGGTTTACTAAAATAATCAACAATATAATATAAACGAAATTGTGTGGATGATTTGTTTATTCAAATTTGTTTTTCTAACCTAAATTTTATCTCGATCGAAGGTATATATTTAAGATATATTTACAGAATGTGTAGGAAAAGATTTGTTTAAAAATAGGATTGATTTAAAATGAAGGATTATTACTTATCTTTTGTTAAATATTATTTTGTTATCGTGTTGTGGACTGTTTGAAGTGTGAACTATACCTATTACACATCTGATTAGACTAGTCAACTGATATGCTTTGACTTATATGACAAAATATATGTGATTAGTTTCACTTTCAGTTTTCAGCTGAATGTGGTTATAGTTTGGGCATTCATGTAAGCAAGAATAAGGTATCTAAAGGCTGGTCATACTTCATTTCAGTAAACAGAATCGATTTTCAATTATAATGTGTTAGAAATAAATTACTTAATATAACCGATATAAGATTACTGATGTTTAACTATTGGTGTTTAGATTATAAGGGATCGATGTATTCACCATGTTGTATTTTAGCCCCATGTAAAACAATATACAAGCAATTTATTATTACCTAGATTAAAACTTTACCAGGCAATACTTGCATATATGGTAGTTTGCAAATACTTCAGTGGATAAATTAAGATAAAAAGTTTGGGGATAAACTTAACTGTCGTTTTGATGTCATACTTGAGAAAAAATTAGACTGAAGAGGGAATTATTATTTTCATGTCCAAATTCCTACTATTCACATCGCTCACTAATAGTTTACTAATGGAAAGCCATGAACAATGGGAAATTTTCCATGACAGAAATATCACTCCATCCTTCCATGAACATATCACTTGAAGTACAACCAGTCATGATTAAAGAACACAGCAACATTCCGATGGTCACATCTCCGATCAATACAATAATAAAAACTGTTCTAAAATCTCTATAATTAAGTGACTAAAGGAACAAAAACATGACCGTTATCACTGAAAACGATACTTTTAGATGACGTGACAAGGTGGAGTTTATCCCCATTCAATGAAAATGGTAGGTAAATAGGTTTATTTGCGGAATTCTACGAATAAGAAGTAATATGATCTGCCATCGACAATTTTAAACTCATTTTTTTGTCAAATACACTTTTAAGAAAACTGTTTAAATAATCTTTGATGTATATACATTACTGTCATCAAGTTATAACAAGTAACATTGTAAGGCGAATACTACTGTTTATAAATTTCTTCATTTAACCGGTTTTCAGCAATAACATGAATCTTATTAAATGTTTTTAATCAGTTCTAAATTAAATCTTTCTCATAGTCATGTTTCTTATAGTGAGTTTGAATTGATTTTTATTTTCATAAATTTACGACAATCATTTAAAGTACATTGAGTTGAGAAAATGTAGACGAAATGGGAATAAAAATTATTACTATAGTTTTCATTTTGTTTAGTCTGCTTATCTACTTACATGTAACTAATTTTGTAAATTACACAATTTTGGCTAGTTTGTTTTAATTTTCAGCAGTATTTTTTTCATTCATAGGTCTTAATTTATTATGTTCAGTGACATTTTTAATTAGTCGACCAACTAACTATACAATCAGTAGGCATGCATAAAACACCAAAACATGATTATTGAAGGTTACTCAAAGTGTTTTTTTTTCTTCAAATAATATATGAATGATTATTTGTTTTGCCCAAAAATGCTGAAGCTTTTTCCAAACACTTACGACAACATAGATCAAGAGTTCCAGAAGTTGCGAAGTGTTTAAACAACCGACAAGATGCAAATTATGAATATTAGAAACACAATACAACAAGCCAAATTTTTGATCAGAAAAATTCAGATTAGCCATTAAATTTATAAACTTTCAAATGCGTGTGATACATATTCACTTCAAGTTGAAAGTAATATCTGGGAAAAATGTGTAAAATGAAACATTCATTTTTATATGTTAGAACGATAATGTCAAAAGAACCAGATTAAAAACTGTTACACATTTATAATTGTAGTTCGATGTATGTTATAAAAACATTTTATTACTGCTATTGAGCATAGTCACAGTGCAAGGACTCCAAATTGTGTACAAATTACAACTGGACCAATAATTTACAACAGATTCACCATCTCCTAACTTACTAAATGTATGAAAATATTCTTTCTTACAAAAAAAACACAGCGAATGTGTTGTTTTCTTTGTAGATTGGTATTTGTTACGTAGTTACAACGTTAGGATTAATTTTTATACAATATTTACTGGATAGAATCAGAATATGAAGAACATAGCAGCAGGCATGAAATGTAGGAAAAAGATCATGAAACAAAAGAACAAAATAATATGATATTTTGATGAAATGTGTGGTTAATTATTATGTAATAAAATCGTATGAATAAACAGTTGTTTGTTAACATTATTCCACTAACAGTTCTATGTGTATTAGTGAATTGTTACACGTAGGAATGTGTATAAATTCATTGTCCAAAAGACAGAATGTCCGATAGTAATTGGCATAGTATTCTTTTGGTATCTCTCTTTTTCTGTTATGCAATCCGGTATATATATTTGTAAAGGTAGATACAGATTGTTTTTACAGCTTATCATATTTCATCTGTTCCACTTAAAATATTTGACCACATTTTTCTTTGATTAGCTACTACAACTTTCTAATATTTCTTTGTAACATTTTCTTCAGTCAAGTTCATGGTTTAAAGAATACTTATATCATACTTTAAATTGTTAACCTTGAACAATGGTAAATTTTAAAAAGCAAGTTTCAATTGAACATAGGCCTAAAATTATTGATCAAATATTTAAATCACTCTATTACTTGAACTAAAATAGCTCTTCAGTTCAGATTAGCTTGTAGTTTAAAGTTCAATGCGAAATCATGTTTATCAAAATATTCTGAGTGCGTTGTGGTTGTGGCAATAAGATTGCTTCCAGATGTTTAGTAATTAATTGACCTGAATGTTTCTGTTATTGCAAAGTAATTAGTCTTGGATAAAAGTTGGATTCCTGAAGAGAATTTCAGCTATATTGGTTCATTTAAACATCAAGAATTTAATGGAACGAAAACAAACTCTATATTACACATTAAGCTTAGAAATATTTAAATTAACCTGATTTAACTAAAACTGGAAAGGAAACCAAATTAATCTTGGACTTATCAATAGGCAGAATATCAAGAGAGAGACCTTGAAATTTTGTTTCAAAAGTCAAACATTCAGAACTTTTGACTTATTACTTGATAGATGAAATTATTAAATTCAGCTAATCACATTGAAACCAGATATTAATTTCAGCGCCTTATTTATTTATTTGTATTTCAAGAAGTAGATTCAATGGAAATTTTTTATCAGTTAATCACTAGATCACGTCTATCGAAAAAACTCAGTTTATTAGCTAAAGTGACATAAGTACATTGTTCAGTATGAATCAACAGACTGGATTATTTGTAGCAGTCAGTATCATTGTGTAGACTAGATTTCATTCTTTACTGAGATTTTAAAATTTTTGATGGGTGCAAGACTTAGAAATCAAACACTATGGATTATTAAGAAAATAAGATGATATTCAAAACATTACGTTACCCTGGTACCATATTCTAAAGTTGTGAAGTATTAGTCACGTTAGCTGTAAATGAACTATCGTTTGTACAAAAGTGACCATTAGAAGTTAATTGATTTCCTCATGAAATGCAAGTCATCATTAGAAGTTTGCCAAATGGTAGTCGACATTTAAATGATAACGGGTGGTTAACTTTTTAATACGTTCTATACAGATGAATATATGTTTTTAATTTAAAACTTCGTGTTTTGTGTACATGTTTCAATTGCTGATCTTTGGGATTCTACAGTGACTGTCAGGTAAAATAAATCTTTCACATTTTCACTTGTTTTATCATTTACTGTTGTAATTTGACTATTAGTCGATGGTATTAGTTGAAATCCGTTAAGAACCATTCAGTTGATTTACCCTAAATGCCTCTTCCTTTTTTCCTAATTCATGACCATACTATCTCATAAATCGTATAGATAATTCACTTCATTGTAAGAGACAAATAGAATTGATTTAGAACATGAATAATAAACGCCAATATTATTAAATTAATCTAATATATTTGAAACATTAGATTGAATTCAACCACCATTTTTCAGTATTTTTATTCCTTAAATTACATGTGTTCATTTATTGATACTTATTAAGTACAAATTATACATCATTATGAAATGTCAATTAATCTTAATGTGAGATTAAAGAGTGAAAATGAAATTATCAAGCTTGAAACAAAAACATTGTGCACTTCCAACTTTAAATGTAACACTTGATGAATATTAAACAAAAAAAACATACAATAAGTAAGCGTTTATCATGAGAAAATACAATGAAAAGTAAAAATTAAAAATCTCAGTGTAGAATTTATGCACTTCAATGTATTTGTATTAGGTAATTCACCAAATTTAATGGGATCACGTGTAAGATAGTGCGTTCTTTGGTAGTACAGTATTTGTAATAATATTGTATACTGAACTGATATTACTCTAGTTTTAACTGATTTCAAACTCGAATTCTTTGGTGATTAGAATTTTCACTTTTGATATTTTAATATTATTCATTAAAAAAACTATTATATATTTGTTACAAAGCTGTCAAATAAACTACAGTATACTTTGTTTAGAATCTCTCATTTACTTATTTACAACAAAAATATAGGTAACATTGATAAAAAAAGTATTTTAAAATAAAATGATCTATTCCAAAGTGTATAGTGGTCAATAAAACATATAAACCTGTTGGGGATGTTAGATCTCCAGATCTCGCTCGATAAATGCCTTACTTTTGGATTTCACGTCTGCGAGCATGGGCTGATCAGTTGACCTTGAGATTTCATTTCCCGCCACGAAAATCCGTGGCAGTGATTGGCTGCTGTGTATTTTAGTGTGCTATTTTTGTGACTCTCCCAAGGACGTTTCTATGATGTATAAATAAACAAGATTTGTGTGCTTGATTGCATTGTGCTTGCTGGGTGTTTGTAGAATATACTTTCTACACTATATCAAGAATTTTGATTAGCCCTTGGTTCAGGGTAGCCACCTGGACGCTGATTCATTGTTTCGTTCGCGTTTATTGACTAAGGTGAACCCGTCATCATAGCCTTGATTGATGTTGAATATCAATAACAGTAATTTTATAAGTAATAAACAAAATACAAAAAATAAAGTCCCCTTCATCAGTATTAAACTTCGAGGGCTAATTCATGGAGTACCGGTGAGAAACTGTGACTAATGAAAGTCAACGAAGCAGTTCATGATACAGGTATTACAAGTTCATAATGAATGATGGTCATGCAGTGAATGAAGTTTGAAATGTGAACTAACATATATCAACTCAGCAGCCTTAAAGTTCTGAGTTCAAATCCTAGCCGAGTCATGGATATGAATCCCTGAAGCGTACCAAACTAGAACGAAATAGTTGTCGAATTCTCATTGGTTTTTATTGGTTACTTAATTGAAGTCGGTTCGTAGTGCTATCTAAATACCTAACAGTTTCAACAATCCTCATCCTCACTGCGGCGTTTTTGTGTTACTCCGATGTTTTGTCCCTCACTAATTTAGGCCAAATTAAATTTAAAACTGAGTTTACGGAAAAATGAGAGCAGCAAATAAAAGCCTGAATGAAAACATTTTCGGATAGTTACATAGGAAAGTTTATTACTATTTACCATCATACTTCTAAGGATAGTAGAAAGAGAATAACAACGAAAGTGAATAGGAAAACACTGACAAGATTAACGTTTATGGAAAAGCTAAAATAAAGTACATTATGGCATCATGTAAATTTTTTTCAGGCTGTTAAATAGAGAAATTCAGATACCAGTAGAATACTTTAATTTATTACATCGTTAACATATAAAAATTGCACATTAATAAATCAGACATTTTGTAAATGCTAGACAAAGTAGATTCACTTATGATGCACATATTTCTTGCCAGTTTTATACAATATTATATGTAGGTTTTTCAACTTTGTTTTTACCACTAAAAGTGTATAGAGAAGGCAGTAAATACGATTGGCTTTTCTTCAATTGTTCGATTAAAATCTGTAAAGAAAATTTTTTTCCACTGTTTTGGTGAAAATAACTTCTTTTTTAAACATAAAAATTATCAGCTGTATGAGTGAAGCATGTCTACGACGTTGCAAAAGTGAGTGGTGTGCATTTTTTAGAATACTTAGCGAACTAATTTACATCATGGATCAGCTACAACTAACTGGCGTTCAAAGCCTTCTTTTAGTTAGCATACATTCACTGAAGTATGTTTTTATCTTTAACGTGTGAAACATTATATACAATCATATTGGAGAAATAATAAACTTAAAATATAATCTTTTTCTCCATACTGACGTAGCTGAATAAATTTAATTTGAAATCTAAAAACTCTCAGTCCATTCAAATGAAAGTCATTGTTATGTTAATTTATCTATTGAATATACAAGGTCGCTTCAATATGCTCACAATTAATCTTAATTTAAAACTTCTGAACAGAACTAAATGTATTGATCTATATCACAATGTGGCACTTAAAGACGATGTGAACAATTTTATTTTGATTCTGATAACATTTGGCTATGGTGGGATATTTTTCTTACAAAATGTTTTATATAAAGATAAATTTTTGATAATTTGCTTACTATTTGGACTATTGAATATATTATCAATGCGAATGATTATTTAAGCGTAATTATGAAGGCGAATCAAAATTACAATGACTTGCCTTGACGCAACTGGACTAATAATCAATACACTAGTTCAGACATCCAAAATGCGTGTAAAACACGCTGAAATATTTTATGGTTTACACGAAAGTGTTGTATAAATACCATTTAATGTTTGATTTACAAATGTTAATCATTATATCATAACAATACTTAAGTGATCAAATAATAATGTGAACATGTTTTAAACATAAAAGATAATCCAGTAACTATTCAGAATGCATATTTTAAACTACGTACGTGATTGTTATGTAATTATGTGCTGGGTAAATGTAGACTGACTCGTTTTATAATCTATGAGTCTGATTCATCAGACAAACACACTTTGCTGGCGTACGGCAAAGTCGTTTATCCGTAATTCTGTTTTCTTTCTGCATTTTAAATGCTTTACGTCATTGCATGTAATCATGAAGAATGTAAGCATTAAATATTATTTCGTTTCTCTGTAAAGGCTTAGTATTCCGATGAGTTGTTAAATTTCAGATTATTAAATTCTTGTGCGACTGTGAAAAGTAAACAGCGAGCCACTCAGGTAATTGGCTGTTTTATGAAAACTTCTAATGAGATGTGATGATTAGTAAGTAATAGAACAGTACTTACTACAATGTGACCAAATTGTCATAGCCATCAATAAACTCATGATTTACAAGTGATTACATACCGAATTTCATCTCAAAGATTATTCTCGAATAATGAAATGTGTTTTATAGAAAACATGGGTCATATAAGACTATGGTTTGAAATACATCAATTCAAGTAGTCGTTGTTCTAATAATAAAATGGATATTTATCAAGTCAGAATTGATTTTGCTTTGTTTGTGTAAACTGAATCATGATTTCTAAATGCTTGTCAAGAACACGTTGATGAATATTGTTATCAGAAGTAACAGAATTGCTACAAATGGCATATAAAATATGCTTTGCTATTTATAGTCTTGATTATTTATATTATCCCTATTATTGCTTCAGTGTATGCTACATTAAAAAAAAAAACATTTTGTTTTTATTTTAAAAAAAAACTTACAAATTTTTTAAAATTTGCTGATAATTTTCTATCATCATCACACTTTCTCTTTCAGACATGCAGTAAGATTATTGATCCATCCGAACAGTATATGACGTATAATGATAAAGCTTATCATAAGAATTGTTTCACATGTGCTGCCTGTCATCAAAGTTTGGCCGGTAAACAATTCTGTATTAAAGATAATGGCTATTATTGCCCTGAGCATGTTTAAAATTAACTCGCAGATATGTTCTACTCCATATAAAAGAAAAAATCTTCACAACTGAAAAATGTAAGTATCTGGAAGGTAAATTTTCATGTTAGTTCCTATAAAAAATGATGCCTAAATGTTGTATTAAAAATGTCATATGAATTTAATATGATTGGTAATAGTAATAATTCGAACTATTCTTATGAAATATACTACTTAAATTATATTACCAAGCACATTGTATAAGAAGTAGTATCTGTGATATGTAGTTTACAATGGAAAACTCGTAACGTGTAGCTTATTCAAAGAAAGATAACAAATTAAGTGTTAACACGTACTATAATCAATAGTCCCAAAGTATTTTTATGTTGTTGAGTGATAATAGAAAATATAAATGAAATATCTAAAAATAAATCTATGAAGCTCTTGTTTCAATACCAGGTTCTCTGTTTGCAGTAATAAAACAATAGAGAATGATTGTTTATTGTCAAAGAAATACTTTGGATGAAATATGTTTCAAAAATTATTTGTCAGGTCGTTACCATAATAGATTCCGAACAATTTCATTGCACCGTACACACTTAATATTTTTTATAGCTTCACAGGATATTTGTACCTTGTAAATCTGTATGCTCAGAAAGCATTTATGCCAATGTCTGCGAAATGTTAGTGGTTAAAGTTTAACATAAGTGAAAATGATTTACACCAGATTAGATCCTAAAATGAACTCATGCATTGATTCCGATGGTATGTGTTATGTTCTCTCATTTTTTGGAAAATAGCTGAAAAATTTGGATCATTCGATTGATGTTTCATGCCAGTATGAAACTGTTTATCAATGAGTTTAATAAATATTCCATTTGATATCTACGTCAAGATGTTTATGTTTTCAGATTAACGTGGTCTCTTTTACCGATTCATTAGAAGCAACTAGGGTTTTTTTTTCAAAAGATGTGCTGTAATTCCTCATTCGTTGACGTGACTGCTAACGAAAAGCGTTATTTAATTGGTTGAGTGGCATCAGTTCATTTGATTCACAGTGTCGTAACGAACCTTTCATGGAAGGTGCACGTTTTGTTAAATGTAGACATCTTCAGTTCAATAACGAGCCCAAGAGAATGAACATTGAATAGTTTGCACTCTTTGCAATATGTAAATTATGAAATTTCGTGAGGAATGATCGAATCTACTATAAAGATTGGTAGTTTATTAGCTAAATATATATTTTACCTATAAATAAGGTTTCCGGTAATTTCAAAGTCATTTGTTCGTAGCGTGAAGTTTAATTAACGGATCTTAATTAGTGACCAATGTTGTTGTTTGACATTAACATATTATACATCTATGCAAATCTCCACTAGTTAAACGGACTTGTATTTTTTTTATTTTCAGTCAATTAAAAAATAATTCAATCATCAAACAACTGGTCATAACTTTTAGTTTTATAAACTGAAATTGCTTTTTCTAGACTTAATTTAGTGATTACCAGATTCCAATGTAAACGTGAAAACAATGTCACATTCACCCGAGTAACTACCGAAGATGAATATGTATCTTTGTAGTGAGGTTAAAATCTCTGAAGAATTAATAGTTTTAGTTACAAAAAAATATACTATCAGGTAGAGATGTTAGAGCAGTACACCTTGAGATTCATTGCTGATTGTCTCCGTTTGAAATATTTCTCTTTTCACCAATAAATAGGCGAAACACTTAATTGCTTACTGAATATTTTACCAGTAGTCTTATATATTTATATTAATTATGTATTATTGATTTCTTTTATTGATTTCAGAAGGAATTTAAACTTATTCTTCATTCTGAACGATTATTTCATGAATTTGTTTCGTCTTTTTGTGATTATTCTCCTGAAAAATTATTTATCCTTGTATCATTAGTTCATTATCATAAGTTACATTTTAAATGTTTTGAGGTGAAATTCTTTGATGCATTGAATATTTGACTTTATTGTTACTTAACAAATCAATTCTCATGATACATTAATGCTTTCCCACTGTGTTGTTTCACAAATTTCAAAAAAATGTGCAAATCAATCTTATGTACACTTACAATACTTTTTTTACAGTTACCTTTATTATTTTCATAAAAATTCAATTAGTTTACATGGGTATTTTTTATTACGGTTAAATTTTTCTTTCATTTTAATTGATTTTTGTTGTTTTTTTCGTACTTATCCATTTTACTATTGATTTACTAATAATATAGTCAGTAGATACAATGACTTTCAAGTGTGAAAACATTTGCTTGGCTATCGAGTATTTTAATGTTCTTTTAATGGCTTTTATCTATCATTAAAAATATGGGCATCATAAATAGGTGACCGAACACAGATCTCTTAAGTTGTACCAAGAAACAATTGTTATTAACATCAAAGATTTCCCTAAATGATCACAAATCAAACTGGATACAAACAAGTCGATGATTGGTACTTCTATTTTCCAAACAGTTATGATTGCTTTGTACATCTAACATTTACAGAAATGACCAACTCTTAATATAACATGATCATTTCTTTTGTTGACTTCTGCTTATGTTTTAACACTTTCTTCATAATTTTATGCCTTATTTAAATTCTGTGAATCTGATTTATAAGAAATAAAAATTTTCGCTAAAATGATATTTACTTACTCTCATGTACTGCTTTGATTCTTCATATGATGAAAGGCTTGTGATCAATTAATATTGTGAAAAAGCACTTTATTGTGAAGATTCATTTAAGAAACATAAATGTATACCGCAAGATTATGGCTTTGTTTACTTCTTGTAAAAATGTTTTGTTGAAGATGAATTAAAGAAGAGAATTTTTGTAATTCTAGCTGGGTCTTTTGAATAGAAAAGTCGAATGTCCAAGCTTTTAACAGCTTTTTTAAAACCATTAAAAACATTAATTTGTAAGAGAAAGCCACTAAAATATCGTTGTACGTGGCTTTATCAACTTGGTTGTCACAAGCAAATGTCTTATGATAGTTTTCGAACGGACTTTGGTTTACAAGTACTTGTAACAAAACATCTGATCTCATATTGACAAGATGAGTTAGAGCAGCTCTAATGGATTACGTTTCTGACCTAAAGAAGAACAAACAAACCATCATGCCCAGGCTATTCAGTTTACAGAATTAAACATCAGCATTAACATTTTCTCGTGTTAACTAGGTGTACAGCACTGATCGACTCTTGTTTACTAACAATCCAAATTAACACTTATGCCAGTTTTATCCACCATATCGGTCTGATGACAACAAATTTACTGATAAAAAATTAACGATAAACTTTTGACCTTTAAAATTTATATTTGATAGCGCTTATCAGAAACATTTTTAACTTGATTACAATGAATTATCTGTTTGATGTACAGCATACAGATTTTGTTTCTACTACAGAAGTTCATAATAAGTGGATTATCAAAAACCTGATTAATGACTTACATGTTAGAAGTAGTATTTTTAAAATCAGTCTTATGTTTTTGACTTAACGTTATAATATGAGATTATTTAGGAGAAATTTACTCAATCATTATTTAGATGATCAAACGAGTATACACATACTCAAACAACAATCATTATCAATTCTGTAAAGAATCACCATAATTTTCTCATGACAGGGTTATGGAGATTGTTGTTTTTACATTGGAATCGTGAATTAATCAATGGGTGAGGTTGAGTAAAATCCCTGGATTGATCAGAGTTATACACGAACACCGTTGGATGCCAGCTCAGTGGCATAGAAGTTAAACGTTCGCTCTCGAGACAAAAGGTCATGAGTTCGATTTCGGCGTCGTGGGTCGTGGATGAGCACTTCTGAAAGTCCCATATGAGACGGAACGGCATTCTAGTGCTTTCGGGTTTCTAGTGCTGATCTAACAAGGATTAAATAACGATTCCAATGTAGTAACCATAATGACTGATTTCGAACGTACTACTGAATAACAGATATGTAATGTGTTAATAAAATTGTGTTTTAATTTCGTGCAATAAAACTTACAATTTAGGCCAAATATAGTTGAGTAGGCCAGAGGTTTATTTAAAATCATCAATTTAAATAAATTGTATTTGTAAACGGAATCAGTCTACAAAGATATAACAATCACATCTCAGTCATGAGTTGAAGATTTCATTGTGAAAACCACAGACATTAGCCGGTGAGTACTTAAACTTTACCCGTTCTAATACTAGACATTTCCTTCCTCTATCAAAAAAATTTCATAAACCAAATAATGCGTGTAACTGCCAAGTACCATAATAAAAGCAGGAAGTATAAAAGTTTCTGGAATATTATTTTTAAGAAAAAGCACTAAATAGTAAATTGCCTAGGGATTAACTTTCATGTCTAAAAGTACTAGTAAAATATGCTTCAGGAAATACAGAGACCGGTAAGTTATTTTTCAACTGTATAAGTTGAAACTATAATAAAATCACAAACTTCTTGTAAAATATGTTTAAACTAAATGTTACGAAATTTATAGTAGTTTATATGCATATAGGAGATTTTATTATTATTAGATACTTAAAATTTAAGTCAACTCTTAGTTTAGTCAGTTTATCTTATAATTCAATTATTCAAGTACAGAATTTTAATCATACAGCGTGAGAACAGCACTAACCAAAAAGAAACAGTATAATAACTGTTAGAATGCAGTTGTAAGCTTTTTTTTTGGAATAAGACTTATTACTATAAATCTTTTTTGTCCTAAATAATAACTGGTAAGCATCATTTCAGTTAATGTAATGACAAATATTACCTAGCCATGGCAAGTTAAATAACAGTTGGTTTTTTCAGGAGTCTCATTTTGATCTCGCATCTGACTGCATCATCATGAGAGATAAGCATTTTAGGTTGATGATATTCTGGGCAAATTACCTGTTGTGAGCCACTCGCGATTATGTCAAACTCCATTATTGAGAAAGATATTTTCACTGTTGAATTAACTTAAAGATAATCATTTTCCCAAGCTACACAGACGTTCAAAGTTAGTGTCAGTCAAATGGTTGTGGCCTGTTTAACTTTCAGTAGTTGATATCATCACTGAAGAAAGTATATTTTCATTATTTAGTTGGAATTCCGTAGTCAAGGACAGAAATCAACTTGAAAGTTATTTAAAAACTAGTCCAAACGTTTAGTATGCATAAGTATTTTTCATAGTTTTGTGATAATAATAATAATAATCCACAGAGATAAATTTATTCAGTTATTGTGTTTTTAACAAGTTGCAGGGAAGAAATGAACAGACTTAATTATTGCGCATTATAACACGAGCTAAACTACATCATCGAAACATAAAGTTCATTTTTGTCAGTAGATACAATTTGTCTTCCGTATTTTTGAAACTATCAGTGAACCGAGGAATTTATGTGTTTTAAACAGATTTCAATTTATTGGTATTTGCCAAAAAAGAAATAGTAATTTGCGACTATCTATTTTTACATTACACATAAAGGTATTTATGTCCATAAATCATGATTTCATAATGAAAAGAGTTGAAAAAGCCTAATTATGGATTGTCACTGTTTGATTTATGACAAGTTTAAATGAATTTTCCGCAGCAATTTCTAAGTTATATTTAAGAAAGGTGTACAAGAATAAGCAAATATTGTTACTGGCCGGATAAACGCAACAAGAATCATTTACTTTGATGACAGACAGGGGAGTTTACTCTATTGATTTCAAATATAAAATGAAAAAATAAGGAATGTAGATAAAATACATTCCAGGATGAATGGAATGAAATAATGCACGATTTCAAGATTCGGATGAACAATAAGCGCAACTACAATACGCCAGTCAGTTATGTATAATTCCGCTCAACGTTCCACATTTGCAACTAAGAGTTTAGTCAACAATCGTATACTGTCAATTTTTCATATCTGAGAGAAAGCTGTTTTTGGTTTAACCGCCATTAGATATCTTCAAAACTAGTCCTGTGGCAGTTGGCGTGGTAATTAGATGAGGATCCATGGAAATTGCCTCAAACTTGTCCGTCAAAAAAGGTACATAGTATTGTCACCGAGAATAGAATTTCTAATCAAAAAAACTAAACCTAATCTCCTAACTAACATTTTGTTATATTACATTTGCAGTCAATTCAAGTTTTCTTACTCTATGAATCACATTTCAAATCGTAAGTTGATATCAGCTGAAGAAAAAACATAGTATATTCACTTTTATATATGCAGATGGGCATTCCAGCAAGACGTATAATATCTGGGGTATGATTTTGTCTACCGAAAATTCACCCCTACTGAGGACTTAAACGCTCAAACAAGGTGCTAGTGGGATTCGTCTTCATTGAGCCCAATTATCTGCTAAATTCTTTTCTATCAAGTGTTATTGTTGATGAGTTTCTCTTTAGTATTGCATAATTTCCGAGGATTATAATAAATATGCAATTACAGCTGAAAGATATTTTCACTCAGAAGTGCAGATTTATAATTGAACGAATAGTAGTCTCCAAACAATTCAGTGTAGATCGAATGACAGCAACCAATCAATTAATTGTACGAAAATATCATGCTACATGAAAACTTTCTTCAAAAATTAAAAGGTTATTTAAAAAGTATAATTTCAATTTGTCTGATTCAAAATATTCTCTTAAATTATTTCTTACTTTTTAAACAACAAATACAATTTTCTGTACTGAAAATGTCAGTCCAAATATTCGATTCATATTTCACTAAAATTTTGTTAACTGATGTTAAGACAACATACAAATTCAAGTTCATTCCATCAAAATTTTTACAATAAAAAAGCGACACACCTTAAACAGTGACAGATTGAAAAGCACACCAAAATTTCTTATGATGTTTGAAAACAGTATAGATCGATGAATAGACTATCTGGATAGAATGCTTAAAATTTATTTAAACACAATTATAATTATTTTTAGCGCTTCAGGTGTTTGCCTGTCGTATAGTAATTAAACTACTTTTACGTAATGATAAGTGCAAA